CTTAATAATGGAGTCATCTTTAGGAAGTACAATCATGCATACCACATTATATTCGAGTTATCTTTAGTTTGTACAAACATACTAATATAAAAATAAGGAGATGAGGTATGATTGCCAATGAGAAAGCTATCCACCAAAGTTCAAATGAAGTGGATGTAAGCAATTATAGGCAACTGTACGGCTTTAATAACTAGAAAAACACATACCGTATAGTTGGCTATTAAAGGCCCCGACAAAAAAAAATATGAAACAATTCAATTGAGAAAACTAACGGCTTTATAACGGAGTCCCCTTAAGGAAGTACAAACGTTCCTTCCATATTAGAATGGAGTCGCCTTCAGGTAGTACAAACAGGGCTACCAAGTTATAATGAAGTCACCTTCAGGTAGTACAAACAGGCCTACCAAATTATAATGAAGTCACATTCAGGTAGTACAAACAGGCCTACCACTTTATAATGGAGTCACCTCGAGGTAGTACAAACATGCCTACTACATTATAATGGAGTCACCTTTAGGTTGTACAAAAATGCATACTACATTATACTGTCGTCATCTTAACGTAGTAAGAACAAGCCTACCACTTTATAATAATGGACTGATCTTTAGGAAGTACAAACATGCCTACAACGTTATAATGGATTCACCTTAAGGGAGTACCAAAATGCCTACTACAATATAATAGAGTCACCTTTTGTTACTAAAAACATGCCTATCACATACTAATGAAGTCACCTCGAGGTAGTACAAACATGCCTTTCACGTCATTATTGAGTTTCCTTTAGGTATTAAAAACATGCCTATCCTTTAGGTATTACGAACATGCCTACCACATCATAATGGAGTCAGCTTTAGGTAGTACAAACATGCCTATCACATCATAATGGAGTCACCTTTAGGTAGTACAAACATGCCTACCACATTATAATGGAGTCAGCTTTAGGAAGTACAAACATGCCTACTACATTATAATGGAGTCAGCATTAAGATGTACAAACATGCCTACCACATTATAATGGAGTCACATTTGGGAAGTACAAACATGCCTACCACATTATAATGGAGTCACCTTTAGGTATTACAAACATTCCTACTACACTATAATGGAGTCACCTTTAGGTAGTACAAACATGCTTACCACATTATAATGGAGTCACTTTAAGGAAGTACAAACATGCCTACTACATTATAATTGAGTCAGCTTTAAGAAGCACAAGCATGCTTGCTACATTATAATGGAGTCACCTTCAGGTAGTACAAACATTCTTACTACATTATAATGGAGTCACCTTTTGGTATTACAATCATGCCTACCACATCATAATGGAGTCAGCTTTAGGTAGTACAAACATGCCTACCACATCATAATGGAGTCATCTTCAGGTAGTACAAACAGGCCTACTACATTATAATGGAGTCACCTCGAGGTAGTACAAACATTCTTACTACATTATAATGGAGTCACCTTAAGGTAGTACAAACATGCCTACCACATTATAATGGAGTCACATTTTGGTAGTACAAACATCGCTTACACTTTATACTGGAGACACCTTTAAGAAGTACAAACACATCTTCTAATTATATTGCATACAATTGAGAATGAAGAAGGGGAATGTGTCAAAGAGACAACAATCCGACCAAAGAGCAGAAAACAGCCGAAGGCCACCAATGGGTTTTCAACACAGCGAGAAAATCCGGCACCCGGAGGTGGGCTTCAGCTGGCCTCTAAACAAAAATGTGTACTAGTTCAATGAAAATGGACGTCACACTCAACTCCTAAACATATAAATGAACTTAAATTAAAAAACATCCAATAATAACATAGGCCAGAGGCACCTCTTTGGGTAGTACAAACATGTCTACCACAGTAAAATAAAGTCACATTTAAGTAGTACAAACAAACCTACCACATTATACTGGATTCAACTTTAGGTCGTAAAAACATGCCTACTCCATTATAATGGAGTCATCTTTTGGTAGTTAAAACATGCCTACCACTTAAAGATGGACTCATCTGTATGTAGTACAAACATGCCTACCACTTTATAATGAAGTCATCATTTTGGTAGTTCAAACATGCTTACCACTTTATAATGAAGTCACTTGTAGGTAGTACATAAAATCTACCACTTTATAATGGAGTCAACTTTAGGTAGTACAAAATACCTACCACTTTATACTAGAGTCACCTTTAGGTAGTACAAAATACCTACCACTTTATACTGGAGTCACCTTTAGGTAGTACATAAATCCTACCACTTTATAATGAAGTCACCATTTTGGTAGTTCAAACATGCCTACCACTCAATAATGGAAGTCACTTTTAGGTGGTTTAAACATGCCTACCGCATAATAATGGAGTTACCTTTAGAGGACCATATGGATATACATACATGTCAATCACTTCTATACATTGGATGGACCTTTTGGATAAACATAGATGCCAATCACTTTTAAAAATGGAGGAACCTGATGTATATACATACGTGCCAATCATTTCTTCATACTGGAGAGACCGTATGGATAAACATGCATGCCAATCACTTTTCAGCCGTCCGTTGTCGTCCGATAACTTTTACAAAAATCATTTTTCTGAAACTTGACCACAATCATCATTGAGTATCTAGTTTAACAACTGTGTCTGATGACTTCGCCTGCCAAAAAACCTGGCTTAAATGACTAGAAATAAAATGGGGGGAAAATGCAGGTCTTGTAAATTATGTTGAAAACTGCCATATATAGAGAAAATCTGTCAAGGCAAAACATGTTGAGATCTACCTACTGTCCCTTTACATCAAAACTTCCAACCGACTTTTATTAGGGTTATTACAATTTTGACTAATATTTTGAAAAGTATCATAGATAAAAGAAAATTTAAATGATAAAAACAATTATGCAGCAAGACAAGATCTACAAATAAGCCAACTTGGCCGAAATATTTAGTCAACTCCTTATAGTAATTGTCCTTACGTAATGATTTTTACTAATTTGTGTTTGTGTTTTTGATTATTGTCTTGAAAACTGTAATAGATAAATAGTCACTTAAAAAGCAAAACATTTATCAGCAAGACTGTAACTAGATCAGCATAGAGGAAATTGTCATTTTTCTTCTAATAGGAGTTATTACCCTTAAATAAAGTCAACAGTAGTAAACCTTGTTCAAAAGTCATAAATCGATTAAGAGAAAAAAAATCCAGGTTACAAACTAAAACCGAGGGAAACACATCAACTATAAGAGGAAAATAACGGAACAACAGAAACACTGAACTGCAACAAAAACATACCACAACATACATAGAAACGGACTATAAGATAACAACTGCCATATTCCTGATTTGGTACAGGACATTTTCAGAAAAAAATGGTGGGTTGAACCTGGTTTTATGGCTAGCCAAACCCTCACTTATATGACAATGTTAAATGACGAATGACGAGTTTTATCCTGTTTTGTGTTTTTGGAAGAAACTATAGAAGATAGTGTAAACTGTAAACAAATTATAAGCAATACAAGATCACCAAAAAGATATTTTACTCATGCATTTATTCTAGTTTACAATGCTGGCTCTTAAAATCCTCTAGTGATATTGGAGGAACCAAATGGATTTACATATACGCCAAACAATTTTTTATATAGTGGAAGAACCCTATAATGGAAAAACATACATGTCAATATCTTTTTTTTTATATTGGAGGAACCAAATGGAGATACATACATGCCAATCCCTTCTTTATATTGGAGGGCCTTATGGACTCTCCATTACGATAAAACTCATAAAATATATAAGGCTAATAATTTGTTTCTCCATACGAGCGTTTCGTCTACATAAGACACATTAGAATCTCGACTCAAAACAATTGGATTGCCGAATCAAATACGAAGAGGAGGGACTTCATAGATATACATACATGCCAATTACTTCTTTATAATTGAGTATTCGGTCTTTTGGGAAGACATAAATGTCATCCATTTTTTACTGTGGAAGGACATACTGAACGTTCAAATTTGTAGTCTGCCAAGCACTTCTTTCAAGTAGAGTAACAAATATATATTACATACATACTATTCATTCCAACTTTTGATGCAGGCGCTACTAACGAGTCATCAGTAGACGAAACGCGCGTCTGGCGTAACAAACCAGCAGCCAGTATCTCTGATTAGTTTTATCATACTAGTAATCAAGAGCTACTTTTGGAAGTAAGCTGGTATCTCTGATTAGTTTTATCATACTAGTAATCAAGAGTTCCTTTTGGAAGTAAGCTGGTATCTCTGATTAGTTTTATCATACTAGTAATCAAGAGTTCCTTTTGGAAGTAAACTGGTATCTCTGATTAGTTTTATCATACTAGTAATCAAGAGTTCCTTTTTGAAGTAAGCTGGTATCTCTGATTAGTTTATCATACTAGAAATCAAGAGCCCTTTTTGGAAGTAAGCTGGTATCTCTGATAAGTTTTATCATACAGCAATCAAGAGTTCCTTTTGGAAGTTAGCTGGTATATCTGATTAGTTTAACATATTAGTAATCTAGAGTTCCTTTTGGAAGTAGGCTAGTATCTCTGATTAGTTTTATCATACTAGTAATCAAGAGTTCCTTTTGGAAGTAAGCTGGTATTTCTGATTAGTTTTATCATACTAGTAATCAAGACTTTCTGTTAGAAGTAAGCTGGTATCTCTGATTAGTTTTATCATATAAGTAATCAAGAGCTCCTTTTGGAATTAAGCTGGTATCTCTGATTAGTTTTATCATACAAGTAATCAAGATTTTCTTTTGGAAGTAAAAGTGTGCTAACAACACAGAATCAAACTGAAGTAATCACACGATGAAAGATTTTAAAACCCTATACAATTACAAAAATAAGCATTCAATTATTATAATTATATTTAAAAATATATTTCATTAAATATTATCAGTATTTTCATTCCAGTAGCGCAGTACTGGCTACTGGCTTGGTATCCAATGTGTTTCATTTTCAGGCTAATATCAAAATATGCAAAACTAATTATGACCTGTACAACGAATAAAAACACATAAAACTTTCGAATCGGTAAAACATAACGAAAGGAAACAAGAAAGTTTCAGTGTTTTCGATATGAATACTGCTGTAGTAAACTGGATTTTGGAATTTATATACATATTGAACCACGAGGAAAGTATAAGAAATCCAGTAACCAAAGTTAATTAAGCCAATCAATAGACATATATAATTTACTGAGAATAACTGTGATCTTGAAGATGTTATCGTGTATTTTTTCATCTGTAAAATGTACACGGTTTGGAGATACAGGACGATTATCCTTAAGATGCCTTTTATAATGAATAAACTTCGATATTTTGTGACAATTGGAAGTATTTTAGCCATTAAGTACAGAGTATAATATCCCGTCGTTATGATAAAGCTAAGAATCAACAGAACATTTCCAGTGTCGTATGCAGTATTCTCAATACGCGGCATACATTGATGTTGTACTGCATGAAAACACACTGCAAGAGCAAGAAGTAACACAGTATATTCGAATATGGTAGTTATAGAGGAAATCCAGAAGAAATCAGTTCCTATAACCCCCAATAATCTGAGTATTTCAATAATTAGTCTAGGTAAAGATATTATGCCACTTATTAGAATAATACAGTATGTTAACACTTGCTTTCGTGGAACAGTGATTGGTCTACACGAGACGATACTTTGGCTTTGTAATAATGCTGTCATTTCTGACGTTTCATAAGTAGCATTGTTGTCCTCTTCTATGCAACATTGCTTATGCGATGTCCTCGGCCATATTCCTGACAAAAATATTAAGCAAAGAAGCGAGTACTCAGCGAGCATGGGTTCTATAAAAGGACTTACGTTATGTAACAGTTGACGTATGGACAGAGATGAGTTGTTTTCTACGCATCGATAGGTGGTGTTTTGAGAAGTGTCCGAAACATTTTGTTTGCTTGTAGCATAGTACGTCCACGACGAAATATTTGTGACCACAATTATAATCAATCCATAAAAGGTAAACAGAGAATTGACGAATTGGTATTTAGAAAAATAATAGATAAAACATGTTTGAACCACATAGAATGAAAGACACGAAATATTATATAAAACGGCTCCTTCCAGACTCTCGTTGATATGGACAAACACCTTACATTCAACATGGAACGCTATCTTGAGGATACGAAACACTACAGATCCAAGACAAAACAAATATAAAAATTTCAGTTTAAGTGATTTGCTTTTATCATGAGATTCGATATCTAAAATATATGTCTTTCTGATTTTTTCTCGTATCCCAACTGAGACACAGGACACAATTCCAATGCAGTTCAAGACAATCAGAAGTGGTCGGGATATCACAGGTGCTGTGCTGCTTTTTTGCTCAAAAGTGTTGCAAATGTACATTACTTCAGCTAGAATGACTACTAAACTTGTTAGCATGATTAATCCCGCGATACTTCCATCATGGGAGATGTTATATCGGTGTATTTTGTTTTTCAAGTTACCCGCTGTGAGGGGAAGAATGAATATTGCTTTACACCAGTCTTTGGCTTTGTTCATTCTGATGATCTAGCCTACAAATATACAATGAATGTTTATACACTTATTGCAACAAATATTAAAGACGGATGAAACAGTTGTTAAGAAATGTTGAATTTTAGAATAATAATTATTGATGCCGGCGTATTATTTAAACGATTTGGTGAATTCCTGGTCGTTAGATCGAAATTGCGCTGTCGTCTGATGGTCCTGCGTACCTGTCACGTCACTTAATAGGACGTCAGAACAGTATTGGTGGTAGCTTGCCCGCCTTGAGTTCTAGAGGATCTCTGAGAGGTTAAAACTGGCGTTCCAAGCACTCAACATTTAGTTGTAAAGAAAAAAGACTGGTTGAAGAGTATATTATCACTGTGTAGTATCACCAACTTTAAAAATAAAGTATAAAGGTACACCCAAAGCGGTGGAAAAAAACAAATGTGAAGTCAGATAAAGTAAAATTCTTCTTATTTCAATATATTCTACGTTTTGCTAACAAGTAAAGTATTGTAATAGTGATTTCTAATAATGTAGCTACTATTTCGGGTGGATCATGATCCTTAATTGGTTTTTCTCTTTCTTCAAATCGTCAGAAACGGATAGAGTGGTATCTGTTCAACGAAGTTGTAACAAACTTCAGTTATTTATTTATATACAATGTATATTTATTTCACGCAGAACTATCTTTTATGTTAGAGCTTATTTTCACTAACACCGGACTGTAAAGTCAAGCAGACCTTTCATGTGTATCACGTGATTAGGCACCTATTGAAATTTCACAGATGAGTTTCAAATCAGTCGACACATGGCCATTGAGTAAAGCACACGTTTGAGTTTAGAGTTAGAAAAAATAGAAGTTGGGTATTTGAATTGTCAATTCAGGACATGGATAGTCCGTGCAGTATTATGCAGTTTAAAGTGGTCATAGCTCATTAAAGTTATTACTGCAGTAAAATTATATAATCTAGTTTTCTTTTCATTAATTTAGAATCAACCAAAAATGTGTGAAAATAGTTATATTCGTCTGTTTTATGATTTAAAGAAATCCTAGGTGAGGAACCTAAATTTTATATCTGCAGTATGTGCAATGTTCAACCTTACTGGGAAGTGTGCAGTATTATTGGTGTGAATACTGTGTAATCGTTTAGTTTCATTTTGTTTATTTCATAACATTTTATTTAGTTCCGTTTTGTGTGTGTTTATTTCGTTATATTTGTGTTTATTCATTTCATTATTTTATTTATGTTGAATTTACTTCATTTTTTTTTATTATTAAATTTATACTTAAATTTAGTTTGTATAACATTGGCCACTTGACAATCCAAAAGAACTTAATTCGTTACAGAAGCATGTGACGAGTTCAAACTTGTTATTTCTTTGACGTTTTCGTAGAACATATATATCATTTCGTATATCATATGTATGCTTGAGCAACGCTGCATTTTGAAATAAACTATTTTTTACACAGAGAAATTCATGTAACTAATGCAAATAGATTTTATGGCGAATAGCGGCGAATAGTTGATTACTGTACGGGCATTAGAATAGAAAGATTTTGCTAGCATTGTTTATTTGCTTTGGGGGTACCTATATCCGACGGTGAATATGTCCGTGTAGATTTATATAATTTGTTACGGACTTATACCTCCAGAACAAGCATGTTAACAATCGAATTAGCTTGACGATCTACTACAAAGAGTTATTGTTTTAGTATCACTCACATGATTTAAATCAGAAAGTCGTTGAAACCATAAAAAAGAAAGTTTAACATCAAAAAGTCAATTATATAAATACTTGACACATTTTTCAACAATTTTACATACATAAATAGAATAAATATTGAATACATTGCTGCTAAAGATTTTGATATAATCTTGCACGTTTTTTATGTTTTATCATTGTTTATTTGCTTTGGGGGTACCTATATCCGATGGTGATGCTACACGGTGAATATGTCCGTGTAGATTTACATAATTTGTTACGGACTTATACCTCCAGAACAAGCACGTTAACAATCGAATTAGCTTGACGATCTAGTACAATGAGTTATGACAAATTTTACTTATTGCTTTAGTTTCACTCACATGATTTAAATCAGAAAGTCGTTTAAACCATAAAAAAGAAAGTTTAACATCAAAAAGTCAATTATATAAATACTTGACACATTTTTCAACAATTTTACATACATAAATAGAATAAATATTGAATACATTGCTGCTAAAGATTTTGATATAATCTTGCACTTTTTTTATGTTTTAACATCCTTATCCAAATGGAAAACAAATATCTGGAAGATAATACATAGCTTTACTTTGAATAAAGTTTCGCTTGGCTAAGAATTTTCTTCTTATTCATCTTTTGTTATAAAAATATTAAAACTGTGCCAAAATATTATAAAACTCCAGTATTCAGCTATCTTTAAGCATTTCAATTCGAACATACATTTTGAGCCTTAATATTGTTAGTAACTCAAAATACGCATGAATTAATATAAAATGGATAGATCTTTAATAGGACCTGGTGTAAAAAAAGGGAAGCTGTCCTACATTTTTGTACGGTATCATCATTTTACGTTTACATGTATAATTTTATCCTGTATAAGCATGTATTTTTTGCCGCTAGACGTTAATAAACAGCACCAGCTGACATATTAATAAGCCAAACAGTCTGAACCATACTTACTTTGGATAATTACGAGGGTATATGTATACGTCTATGCCTTTATACGTAAAATATGCAATATTTATTTGTATTTACTAGTGTCCCATCTACACATACCGTCCAAAGAATATTGTTCTAGTTCAGAAGTAAAAATTACCTATGGTACACTTCCTTGTAAGTAATACTTCAGTCTTTTGTTTAATAGCGCTTCCTTATAATAACTTTATATAGTCTTACTTTAGTAACTTACAATTTAAGCCATAATTTACCTTTGGCACGGCTAATGGAGTGCAGTATGAGTTTCCTTGTTCCCGAAAGTGACTGACAAGATATCATATTATTTCGTATGCATCCTCACCATTTGGAGAATTTGCCATGAGCTTAAAATAGGTATTGCATTCACCACATGTCACGGTTCATTTGGTTTTATTAGTCCATTTGAAAAAGAGTGAAAAAGTGACTTTAGCTTAAAATGACATAGTAGAGTGCACATAAGGACGTTCTTTTTAATGCAAGAATTCTACAGAACTAGATTTAATAACATGTAAGTTTGATGCTGATTAACAGAGTTTTGTTGACATTCGTTGTCTTTGAAAATTTAAATTGATCACAATACGTATTTCAAATATTTGTACAGCTTTCATCGTTATATGATAACTGTATTATTCGGATACAGTAGCTTCTGCAACTAATCATTGGGAAAACATTGTTTCTTCAGTTTAATTAGCTTTCCGATTTTTTCTTTGATTTCATGATTTTTTTCGATGATTTATTCTACCTTCAATTCTTATCAGAAAATCGCTTCGGACACATAAAATTTTATTTTCACTGTTTTACCAATCGTTTTTTTTCATTGCCAGTTTTATCTATATACGGTTTATAAAAAAAGAAATATGACAGTATTTTTTCCATTGGTTCTGTGGTATAACGAAGTCAGTAAAATAATAATTGTATTACTTAAATGTGTTACTTACAACGGTTGATAGAGTCTAACGTTTGTGTTTGTCCGTTTTTATGGACATTCTCTTTTTGAATTTACCCTGGAGTTATTTTTGTTAATACTTCTTTTATTAAGTATTCAGTGAACAACGGTTACTCTCCTGGTCAAGTGGACCTTACAACATATAATACGCTGAAATCAGTATCATACGTTTCTATTATTTTATGCCATGGTATCTTCCAAATTTCAAAACTAAAATAATCTGATATTTATATTGCTTTTTTCTGGTTGATTTGCATTTCGTAAATTTTTAAACCTTAGATAAAAGCCGTGTAATTTCACACTGAACTTTGAGAATACGAGTTAATGGTACAGTCAAACTCATGAGGAACACACGTGCTTGACACTTTTTTTTTTATAATTGATTGGCCCTTGAGAGGTTCATAGGTGCCGAACAATTGTATGCGACGTACATTTGTTGCAATAACTTTTAATCCAAACGTACACTTTTAAAAACAATTTACCACAATATTTAAGAAAATAGTAAATCACTATGCAATAGATGAAGTACCACTCTATTTATTGTTAGTTCATTTTTGTACCATTTGTTATTCCCCTGATCGAAATTAAAAGTTGGATTGAGAGTGTAAACACTAATTTAACCCCGCCACATGTCCATCTTCCAGTTCTAAGTTTGGAACCCCGTTAATGGTTTTCTTTTGTTATATTCTAATAATTTGTCATCTAAAAGATTCTGGCATTGATGGCAGTATATTGACAGTGTTTGTTAAATATATTCACAATTGTTCAGCATTGGGAATAAGTTAAAGCTTGACTTATTAAATATCCATATGTATATTGTCCAAAACCTTAGGTTGACCTCTAAATTTCTATATTTGTGTCAATAATTGCTGCCTCATTGACGTAAACTAGAAATCTTCATTAGTTTATACTTATTACAACAGTTGATTCGATTATCCCTTGGAGCACTAAATTAGATATTAATGAGTAGTGATAATTCTACTGTTTGTGGATTCAATAATCACTTAATTTGATTATAATGGGTACATGTAAGTGATCACTTCACTGGTTGTGATTCAAGGATCACTTGGAGCACATAAATTGATTTTAATAAGTAAGCGATAATTTTACTGGTTTTAGATTCAAAGATCACTAAGAGAGTACTTATTTTGATTATAATGATTAAGTTATGATTTGACAGGTTGTGGATTAAAAGGATCCCTTGGAGCACTTCGTTTGGTTATAATGAGTAAGTGATAATTTGACAGGTTGTGGATTAAAATGATCCATTGGAGCACTTAATTTGATTATAATGAGTAAGTGATCATTTGATTGGTTGTAGATTCAATGATCACTTGTCACTTTTTCCCAGAATGTGACATACCGAATTAGACTCATCACCGGGTTTGTACTTGCGTGAACATCGCGACGGGTGCCAAATGTGGAGCAGGACCTGCTTACCCACTTGGAGCATTTTACTTGAATAAAATTAGTAAGTTATAATTTGACTGGCTGTATATGAAGATTTATACTGCAACTAGTTGTGTTTATTTCCTAAATATAGTAACAAAGCTATATTTTGTCCAATGTCAATTTCATCATGGATCACTTTTTCTACAATCAGGGGTTCATTTAGGGATGAAAATAAGTTTGAAATTTGTGTTACAATTTAAATAGCTATCAATGTATTTTTTTAAGCTGCAGTATAAACACAATATTTGGTCAATGTCATAAAATATAAACTTTTTTGTATGAGGCTGAGAAACTGGGGAAGGGCGAGGTTGTATATGTCTTTTATTTTCAGACACGACGTATGAAAATATATCATGCAAATTAAGACCTGTATAAGAATAAAAAGACATGAAACATTGAAATCTGTAAAACAAAAAGAAAAGAATTGAAAGGTATTAATATTTTCTATCTGTATACTACGGTAGTAAGGATCTCGGAATTTCTGTTAATATTGAGCCACGATGAAAGTATCTGAAAACCAATAACCAAAATTGATTAGTCCAATAAATAGACATGCATCATGTACTGAGAAATACGGTGATCTTGAAAATGTTATTGTATATTTTGTCATCTGTAAAATGTACATGGTTTGGAGATCCAGGGCAATAATCCATAAATGTCTCTAGAAATCAATAAACTTCGATATATTGTGAACACGGGAAGTATTTGCACCATAAATGACAGAATATAATATCCTGTCGATATGATACTCTATACGAGGCGCTGCTGGAAAGTGGCTACATAGAAATGGAATGTTTCAATGGGGAACTTTGAATCATCTCTTTTGTGTAAAGTTTTGTTCTCAACCGATCCTCATTGTCAATTTCTAGATGTAATTCAAGATATGAGGCAGACTTATCTGTATCTGGTGTATCCTTTATTTTGATTTCCATAGTATCGATACTTTCAACATAGTAACCAAACTTTGAATTATTTAGTGAGAGGACATTAATATAGCGGAAAGTGAAGTTAAGGGATAATGCTAGCTTCTCTTCGTTCTTCATAAGAAGCTCCTGTATGAAATCAACATCATATCAATAAAGGAACAAGTCGACAAGAAAAGAAGCACAGTACGTTCCTATTGGAATGCCGATTGTTTGTTGAAAAACACGTCCTCAAAACGTAACAAATATTTTGTAAATCATGAAATCAAGCATTTTGATAATATCAGTTTCCGAGAATGGTTTGAAAATAGAGTGATTATTTCATAAACTACGATGTACTCCTCCTTCAGACAACATACTTGTATCTAAGTTGGCCATTCTTTTTTATGAAACAAAGCCGGACCAATTATGTCAATTTGTCTTTGAGTTTGTCTTAGGTTGTATGTACTCTACAAGATCTTTAGAATGTTTTAGTATCAACATCTGATTAACGCCGTCTCTAGAATAGGTAGTTTTACAATAACTACAAAGCACAGCTTTCATTGCTAATAAAATTGATGTTAATATTTTTGAAAGAGGTTTTGTGGAGCACTTGGAAGACCAAGCAATATAAGGTTGTTTGTAAGGACTGGTTCATCAGTATTTTGAAGTTGTGTTTTCAATTGATGGATTTTGTCACACGATATTTTGGGCCTTTGGATAACACATTTTGCAGAGAAGTGTTATTGAAAATGTTAAGGTCACTTGTAATAACACTGCCAGCCAAATTATATATAATGTGGAATTAGCTTAGGTGCAACCAGGATGTTTAGACTAGAAGTCATCAATATTGAGATCCTACATCACGTGTTTGTAATTAAATTTTAGTTGCAATTGGTTTCGTATATGTATAAGAATTAATAGGTACAGATTGATCTTTGAAATAGGGATGTATATTCAAGTAAACTGATTTATGATGAGGGTATTGCCCAAGTTGATGGCATTGAAACCTTTGTTGACAAGGGAAAGTTTAAGTAAGGATCTATTCTCCTTTTCATCTTTTCCAATGCGAACTGGTTTGAAAGGTCTGTGACTGGCAATATCCCAGATGATAGCTGTAAGTTTGTATTGGTTTGAATGGAGGTTTTTAACAGTGGTTTCCAAACAAAAGTTGTACAGAGTATGAAGTTTTGAAAGGGATAGTGAATAAAGCTTCGTGTGAATATAATGAGTACAAGACGGATTTGTATAAATGGCAAAGGACATTGATAGAGACATCATGGAGTTGTGTCGGTGATGTAAAATGACGATGACCATGATTACGTCTACATCCAGGAGTAGAGCTGAAAATGTTCATCACATTTACCGAGCTACAGGAATGACTAGATAAAATACCTCTCTCGCGTTTCTCTTTTGCTTCTTTTAATTCTGTTCATTGTTTTGTTTTACTTTAGAGTTCTTTTTTCATTGCCAGTTTAGACTGTAAATAGTTTATTAATTATGCAGTTGTGATCACAAGTACTTGTTGACAGTACAATTAGTTTTGCCCTTTATATTTTTCAAAAGTGTGTTATTTTTTGTTTTCTCTTTAAATTTCAATTATTATCATGTTTTTCTGTGTTAAACTTACATAGATAAACCAGATTCGTTGGTGTTAGGACTGTCTTGAACTTGCTGTGAGGTGAGAGTTTTTTGCTTCGTGTTGAAGACATCACTGTGAATTGAGATGAAGAACAGCAATAAAAGCGCTGTTCCTTTGCTTTTTGTGTTTTGCTTTTGCTGTACATAAGCAGATTTTGTGTCGTGGATGGAAACCCAATATCCTTCGGTTTTCTATTAGAAGAGATATTTTCGTGCTATTAATTTTTATTTTCTAGTTTTTGGGATTGAGATCTCAAACCTAGTTCCTTTCCTAAGCCAGAAACCTCGTTGTGGTTGTCTTTTGTTTTATCAAAATGTGTTTGTTATTAAGGTAATTTGGTAATGACATATCATGGATGTTCACAATGTTTCTCTCCAGGGGCGATTTAGAGCTTGACATATTGTATAAATTGAATAGACATCTGTCTATCGTTGAAGACCGTATGTTTATTTCTAAACTTCTTTTCCTTTTTGTTTGTGTCGATGATTGCTGTTTCGTTGACGTCATACATCAAAACTCTTTTATGTTAATTTTTGCATACTAACCACAGCAGAATACATCAGGGATTCTAAGATTAATTAATTTGATTATAATGAATAAGTGGTAATTTGCAGTAGTGTTCTATTTTTTTAGACACGTATCACAATATATTATACAAATTAAGACCTGTACAAGGAATAAAAACATATAAAACTTTCAAATCTGTAAAATAAAACGAAAGGAAACCAGAAAATATCAGTGTTTTCTATATGTACACTACGGTAGTACGGATTGCTGAATTTGTAAGCATATTGAACCAAGATGAAAGTATCTGAAAACCAATAACCAAAATTAATTAGTCCAATTAATAGACATTTATAATGAATTGAAAAATATTGTGATCTTGAAGATGTTATTGTGTATAATGTCATCTGTAAAATATATACGGTTTGGAGATAAAGAACGATGATAGATAAGATGTCCTCTATAATAAATAAACTTCGATATTTTGTGAACGTTGGAAGTATTTGCATCATTAAGAATAGAGTATGGTATCCTGTCGTTATGATAAAACTAAGAATCAACAGAACACTTCCTATGTCATATAAGGTTTTCTCTTTACGCGGCCTACATTGACGTTGCACTGCATGGAAACACCTCACAAGAGCAAGAAATAGAACAGTATTTTCGAGTGTTGTAGTTAAAGAGGAAATCAAGAAAAAATCAGCTCCTAAATCTCCAAATATTCTTAGAAGTTCAGTAACTAATTTAGGTAAATATATCATGCCGCTTATTAGTATAGTACAGTATGTTATCCATAACTTTCGTGGAACAGGGTCAGGTCTACGTGATATGCTTCTTTGGCTTCGTAACAATGTTGTCATTTCTGTTGCTTCATTCGATTCATTACAGCCCTCTTCTATAATACATAGCTTATTTGTTGTCCTCGGCCATATTCCAGACAAAAATATTAGGCATAGGAGCGGGTATTCGGTGAGCAATGGTTCTGTAAAAGGTCTTGCATTTTGAAACAGTTGACTCACGGAAAAAGATGAGTTACTGTGGGAGCATCGATCTGTGTTGTTTTCAGGAGAATTTCTCAAAAGACCGTGTTCACTATTAGCATGGTGGGTCCACGAAGAAATATTTGCCGCTACAACTATGATCAAACCATAATATGTAAACAAAGAATTGACGAATTTATATTTACAAAAATAATAGATAAAGCCTGTCTGTACCAGATAAAACGAAACACACGAAATATCATATAAAATGGCTCCTTCGAGACTATCGTTGGTACGGACATACACCTTACATTCAACATGGAAAGCTATCTTCAGGATACGAAACACTACACATCCAAGACAAAACAAACATAAAAATCTCAACTTAAGGGATTTGCTTTTATCATGAGAATCGGTGTCTAAAATATATCGCTTTCTGATTTGTTCTCGTATTCCAACAGAGATACAAGACAAAATTCCTATGTAGTACAATACAATGAGAAGAGGTCGGGAGATAAGAGGTGCTGTTTTGTTTGTTTTCTGATACGTATGAGAAATGTACATTACTTCAGCTAGCATGACTACTAAACTAATAAGCATGATTATTCCCGCGATACTTCCATCATGTGATATGGCATTCTGGTGTATTCTATTTTTCAAGTTCCCCGCTGTCAAGGGAAGAATAAATATCGCTTTACACCAGTCTTTGGCTTTATTCATTCTGATTGTATAGTCACCACCTGAAAAAATACAATATATTTAGTAGAGCTTTATATATGGTGCAGAACACCGTTTATTGATACAAAGATGTCTCAATCGATTGAATAGTGTTGTTTGGTTGATGTCCGATTTAGTGAGTACTGAATAAAACTAAGAATACGTGTCTATGGTTGCCGTATATTGACGTCTAAGCTTTTTTTTAGGGGTAACATTAGATTTCTGTACCATAATATTTCGCAGTATAAACACCACCAAGGTATATCAGACACGAACTGGTAAGAAAATACCAGTTTTCTATGGACGTAATTACCCGTCTCAAGTGTAAACATGAATTAAAAAAGATGCGTAAAAAAGTTGAAGTTAAAAATTTTGATTATCGACGAAGTTGAGAAACAATGTAAAATCAAATTATGAAAATGTTTTTATTTGAATTTTAGAATGTAAACAAGGAAAAATATAAACATTAAAGGTTAGCTTATTAAAGGTTTCATAGCGAATTTCTTAATACTATCAAAATTCAATAACGAGAGTTGATATCAAGCGATATACAATTCTCCCGAGTTGTTAAACTTTTTCCCCCATGGTCAACAATATCATTGTGTTAAATGTTAAATTAAAAATTCCGCTAATCGATGATCTAGTCTTTTGCACATAGCAGTATGACGTCATATATGCTGTTCCGGAGTCAAACTTTAAAATCAGACATTTTAAAAAATTTTGTACGCTTCAGAATGCTATAAAATTTGACAAGAAGAAGATTTTCAGGTGAAAAATGTGAGTGTTTTGTATATTATTGAAGAAATCACTTATGTCCGTTATAATGGACGAAATGTACATCGTCTCAACTTTTGAAAGTCATCAATGACCTAACGAATAGGCAATTGAAATGTCGTAATATCGTCTCATGATGCTGGATAAGCCAATCAAATTAGCGTAGTTTTCCCATTCATTTGTTCGTGCAGTATGATACGAGAAATATCTTGTCATGCAAGAAATAGATAACAGGTCACAACCATAAGAGAAAGGTACCTTAACTTAAAACAGTTTCGTTAAAAGGTACGAAAGTTGTCAATACCATGGAACAAAAATATATTATTGTCGTTTGTAATATTTGTTCGATTATATAATAATTATGCCGCCATATCATAAAACAGACTGTGTGACCACGTTACTGGACGTTCTAATCACTTCCCCAGTGCGAGAGGTCACAACCATAAGAGAAAGGTACCTTAACTTAAAACAATTTCGTTAAAAGGTACGAAAGTTGTCAATACCATGGAACAAAAATCTAATATTGTCGTTTGTAATATTTGTTTGATTATACAATAACTATGCCGCCATATCATAAAACAGCCTGTGTGACCAAGTGACTAGAGGTACTAATCTCTTCTCCAGTGCGAGAGGTCGCGGGTTAAATCGCCTGTCAGGTGTCAAACTGGCATTTGCCTCTGTCTATCACAAGGCCATAAGAAGTAAGAGAAAAGACTGGTTTGCTCTACAAAGCATTATCCGGTTAGAGTGACATGACTTCCTGTTGACTGCTACATTGAGAGCTAGCAATGACACATTGAGGATCCGATTAAATGTGCTGATCAGATATCAAAAGATAGAAACAATTTTCCTTGTTTTTGTCCTAACCCTAACCCTATTCACTCAAGATCAAAATCAGTTAGTTGTAACGGTGGAAACGTTCTGGAAATTGAATGTGAGGGTGAATGTAATGTTTTTGAAATATTTTTTAACAATTGTACATATATTATATCGCATGTATCCATAAACTCAGCTATTCAGTTTAGTGATACATATATTCATAAAATCTACTATTCAGTTCATTGCTACATATGTCCATAAAATCTATTATTCATGGCAGTGCTGTAAATATTGAGATTAAAGATTGTTTTGAGATACAATATTACAATTTTACATATTTTTGTAAGATATTGCTCTTACAGGATCTTTAAACAACTTGAATTAAATTTAATCTGAAAGACAGTACAAAAAAAGTAAAATAGCAAAAAAACCGAACTCGATGGAAAATTTAAAACGGAAAGTCCTTATCAAATGGCAAAATCAAAAGCTCAAATACATCAAACGAATGGATAATAACTGTCATATTACTGATTTGGTATAGGCATTTCATGTAGAAAATGGTGGATTAAACCTGGTTTTATAGCTATCTAACTTTTCACTTATATGACAGTCGCATAGAATTCCATTATTTTGACAACTATGTGTGAGGATATAAAAGGTTAAATTGTCAAAAATTGGGATACAGCAGTCAACATTGTGTTATAATCTTAATCACTGTAAAAACAACAAAGAAAAACAAAATGGCATATAGACACTGTATAGACAAAGTACATAAGCAAAAATGAAAGACAAGAATACATATAAATACCGAGCCAAGCCAAAAGTGCATTACCAGAAATTGACAAAACAGTAAAGGTTAAAAATATACAGAGACAAATAAAAAGAACGCTATAACACGTAATTCAGATGATAAACAACGTCAGTACCTAGAATCTTTACTTCAAGACCATCATGTATTATTTGTGAAGTTGATACGGAATATTTATCAACAAGGTCTTGGTATCTTCCGATGAACTTTTTTTAGAAAAAGGACGAGACGTTCTTTGACATAACCCTGGTTCATCAATTTCTGCTCAGACACTGATGACATTAATAAAGTCTGAGTAGCAGCTACAAGCTCTTGAATATAGAAAACTTTTCTTCCAAAAGATTTTTCATTTTGGTTAAACATGTTAATCTAATACCTTTATGGTTAAATACCCAAAGATATGTATGTATAAGTGTTTGACTTCATAAGATATAAAATGTCCTATTAATGCCAACTTACTTTGTATTTAATAGTGCTCCATCTACATATACGGCCGAAAAATTTTGTGTAAATTAGGATAGTGAAAATTACGGTTAAAACTTGCTACATTTCCTTGTCAATTATCCTTCAATGTTTTGTTAAAAAAATTCTTCCTTCTAATAAATTTTCTATGTTTAAATTCTGAGAACAAAACTAACCAATGTAACTTAAGATTTATAACATTATTTAGCTTCGATAATTATTAATAGGATGCATTTAGTCGACAAAGAGGCGTACGCGTCAACAAACAGGATTCAGATACTGCCCTACATCATAACATATGTGTGCATGTGCACTTTTGGGCGACTTTTCATATAAATATAAATCACATAAACCATATCTTATCGTTCACATCGGTTTTTACGTTAAAAAAAGAAGAACGTGTCCATAGGACACAGATGCCCTACTTGTAAATATGCAAAAACTAAAAAAACAAAAATATCGAACTCGAAGAAAAATTCAAAACGGAAAGTCCTTTATCAAATGGCAAAATCAAAAGCTCAAACACATCAAACGAATGAAAAACAACTGTCATATTCCTGACTTGGTACAAGCATTTCCTGATGTTAAAAAAGGTGGATAAAACCTGGTTTTATAGCTAGCTACACCTCTCAGTTGAATGACAGTCAACGTGGTGTTATAATCTTAATTCCTATACAAACAAATAACTATTTCTACAAAGAAAAGAAAATCGCATATAGACCCTCTATAGACAAAGTACATATTAAGCAAATAAAAGACAAGAATACAAAAATGACAATAGCACAATAACACAATGACTGGATGTATAAATATCTAGCCACGCCAAAAGTACATAACCAAAAATATAATAAACAGTAAAGGGTAAAAATATACAAAGACAAATAAAAAGAACACTATAGGATGTTATTCAGATAAACAACGTCAGAACCTAGAATCTTTACTTCAAGACTATCATGTATTATTTGTGAAGTTGATACGGAATATTTATCAACAAGTTCTTGGTATCTTCCGATGAAAGTTTTTACAAAAAGGGCGAGATGTTCTTTCACATAACCCTGGTTCATAAACTTTCTGCTCAGACACTGGTGATGCTTTATAAAGTCTGAGTAGCACCTTCAAGCTCTTTAATACCGAATAAGTTGGGAAACGTATATCCAATATGCAGGTGAAGTTGGTATATTGCTGCTTCAGTGGGGGAATTTACAATTTCAAAAATAAAATTGTCTCGTTTGTCAAAGATTCTGGTACTGAGATGACCACTTATGTCAAATTCGAGGTATAAGTCTGAAAATGAGGCGGAGGAAGCCGTGGCTGTTGTTTCTTTATCAATCAATAAATCTGAATGTGAAATTCAATGATCTGGCTTCTTTGATCTTCTTGTTTTTGACAAGTGTCTGAAGGAACCCCCACTCATATAAAAATAAGAAGAGGTCGGCAAAGAGAGGCGCCCATTTCGTTCCCACGGGAATGCCGACAATTTGTTCAAAAAGTCTACCTCCCAATTGAACAAATATGTTGTCAATAAAAAAACCCAAGCATACTGATCAATTGTTCCTCGGTGTGGCATGTTTTATCTTTTTTTCACTTTTAACAAAATATGCTGTATGATATCCCAAAACAATAAATTTATAGCGTATGCTACCTTTTTTTATATTGAAAAGCATTGTTGATTATTTCTTATAGACATGGGGAATGGTGGTATACAGAGTTGAAAAATCAAAAGTTTTGATAGAATTAATATCGGAGAAAGATCGAGATTTAATATTATCCAGAAGTTCTTTAGAGTTTTTTAGAATCCACATATGGTTAATACCATTACGCGAGTCAATGTTCTAACTCAAACTTATTAACATTTTGTTTTCTTTGGTAACCTAAAGACAGTTTCTGTTGTTTGTTTTGTCGGCGAAACAGGAAATTTTGCAATTTTTCATTTAAAAAGGGGCATAATACTAGAACGATGAAAGTGACGCCAACCAAATTCGAACATGATCTGTGATTGGGGGTAATACGCATTGTGTAAACGGTTATAACATTTGGTTGTAGCAAAGTAAAGTTAGGGTGTGGAAACGGCAAATTCAGCAAGTATTCCATTAATAAAGGGACATAACTCAAGAACGGTGAAAGTGACGCAACCAAAATTCGAACTTGATCTGTGTTTTA